AAAACATTTTATATATGTATATCTAAAAATATTTTAGCTATGCTGCAATAATTATCAATTATATCAAGTATATCATTAATATGAAGTATACGCATTTCACGTATATGTCATAATATAATAATAATAATCATAAATTATAGATAACATTATCTCACTCACCTTGCCCAAATTGACGAAACCGTGTTCCTTGGCAACAGCATCGGCAATGCCGTTGTCACCGTTCGGTATGTGCACCGCCCAGGTGTGCGTATAGTGACCCCCATTGCTGCCCACTTCACGCACGTTCCTGGCACTGCCAGCGCCGCTGTCACTGCCGCTGCCGCTATCTGCGCCGCTGCCTGCTCCGCTGCTCACTGCAGCGTTCTCATAGTCCAGCACATAGGGCGACAGCAGTGGCGACTGGGCGTGGCCTGGCTCCATTTTGGCCGCGAAACCGACATTAAGTTTACATAAAAACACTACGAGACTAAATTGCAAAAGCAAACGTAATGAAGTCGACGTCGGCGTTTGCGTTTGCGTCGCTTTTGGCTCAATCGAATGTCTTCTGCGAATGCATTTCGTTTTTCTATTGTGTTCCTTGTTTGTTGTTGATGTTGTTGTTGTTAAAAAACTAATGTTGAATAAATTGCAATTGTAGTTTAAACTTGTTATATCACATTCATTGATTGTTTGTTGTTGTTGTTGCTGCTGCTGTTGCCAGGTTGCACTTGTTGCAGCAACATTTGCCATTGCCGCCGTTGACTGACAACTTCTTTTGTTAGCAACATGTTGCATTGACTGTACATTGTTTATGTTGCTTATCTCTTGACTGTATTTACTGTTATTCTTGCTCCTGCTGCTGCTGCTGCTGTTGTTGTTGTTGCTGCTGCTGCTGCTGTTGGTACTGTCGCTATTAGGCTGCCCGCTCCATCGCACCACGTCGTTTTTCATTGTGCGTTCGATTTGTGTGCTTTTTAAGGCGTGGCTTTCTATCCGTCTGTTCTAGAGTGTCTGCCTCTGTATATGTGGGTGTGCGTGGGTGTGTGTGCGTGTCTGTCTGTGTAACTGTGTTGACTGTTGCTGCCACAGCTTTACTCTCCCACTTAACGCTCAGTAGCTGCTGTAATCTCTTTGCTGTCGCACTCAAGCTGCAAGTAGAGCAAAATGATTTCAATTTACATTAGCATTTGATGCACAACAAACAGTTGAGAAATACTTAAAAATTCTACAAGGTATACACATTTGAGAGAAAAAAAAAACAATCAATGCTTAAAGTAGCTGTGTAGGAAAAATTTTAATTGGTTAGTAAAAGATAGTAGCAAAAATTAAGAAGCAAAATTAAATATTTCACAATATTTTTTTTTACTTAATTACAAATTTTTAGCAATTTTCTCATATAAAGTTTGCTCATATGGAGAGGGATTCCCACACCATACTTTCACAACTAACTTCAAAAATTAAAGACAAATGCGTAACTCAATAGCAAATGCTGCTAAGATGGCTCACATAACTCATTCACACAATCAAATCATTTAGCCAAGTCAGGGCGCAACACTTACTAACCCAGCCAACATATTATATGGATTATAGCACATACTCAGCGGAAGCTGACCTAGGGACAATGCGCGAATGGGAGCCAACACAAAGTTGAGTGCCTGCTACAGCAGCAGCAGCAGAAGCGGCAGCCAAACTTGCCTCATTAGCAGGCAACTTATGAGGCACAAATGATATCCTGCATGGCCGTCGGCGAAAAAAGAGCTCAAAGCGTATTCGACAACAGAACTTGGTCCACTTGGTTTTTCTGCATTTAGCTAGCGGGCCAAATCGCATTGATTATCACCAGGGTCCGGGTCCAAGTCCCAAGCCCAATCCCAGTCCCAATTCAGGTCCACAACAGTCGTTGGCATTGCAAATGAGGCACAGAAATTGGCCGACTGGATTTTGACTAATGCCATTGTCCAAAATATGTCCATGACTGATGATGTGCCCCCTGGAGGCCAAACAGCTAAAAGCCAACAGCCAACGGCCGATGGCTAAAGCACTGTCTGTCATATTTGGCCCGGCCATTGTGATTGAGTGTAGCTGGATTTCAGGATATGCAGTTAGCGCGTAATTAAAGCCATGGCTTGAACGGAAATGCGCAGCGCTACCACCTCCGCCGCCAGCTCCACCACCATCAAGGGCAGCATATCAACCGCCCGAACGGATATTGTGGTGTGCGACGTTTGGACATGGTAATCAATAGCCAAGTGGATAGGAAATTGAATTTTCATGCGACAATAGCAGCATTCCAATCACTGCGCCACCCAAAGCCCCAACTCCTCTGTCTGACAATATATTTGACTTTATTTTCGGTTGTTCGATTTGAAGTACCATTCACAGATATTTTATACATCAAATAAAATGAATTTTTTTTTTAATACATTTTTCAAGAGCTCAATTTACATAACTAACTAGCTTTAAATTAAACTATTTTCTCGCCAGATAACTATGTAGCAGGGAGAGGGAAAAACATTACCAATCTTTAAACTTTTTGAATAGTAATCGAAAAAGTGAAGAATTCAAGGAAAGTAAGTGATAGAGGAAGACATAGATCAAGGCAAAGAGATAAAATTTATTGCTATATATATGAATTTGTCAGTTAAAGTATATATATAGGAAATTTGGAATAAAGAGTTTGAAAAAATGTAAAATCAAATCTCTGTATAAGCAATGGCGGTTTATGCATATTATATTGTATATATTATATACAGTAGAATCTGGTTATAACGACTCTACTTATAGCGTTCGCCCGGTTCTGGTTCCCAGACAAATTTAAACGGTTTTTGCGGTTTCCGGGTATAACGACGGTTCCTTGAGCAGACTCTAGTCTATATTGATAATATAATATTAAAAACTAACACGAAATGTTGCTCTAATGAAGTTAATATTGTTGCAAGTGGACTGGATGCACAGTCGAACAAATTCATATTTTAAAAGTAATCTTTTTTCTACTGCATGCCGTTAATATTTTTGCAGCCATACTATCCACATTTTCCCCTATTACTATATATTAAAAATATTTCTATACAATTATTTTCAACCATAAAACAATTTAACGTTTTGCAACCGTTCGTCTCAACTAATCCATGCGTGTCCTTATCAAACGCACCGTCACCTTATCATGCTCAATGAGATAAACTCTGGCCCCATAGCCACTGATTGTATCACGACAGCCGGATGCGATCGATGCGCGCGAAATTGCCTCGAAGAGCCCATCGGAATCCAGGTCGGGGTGCCACAGTGATTCGCAAACGCCCACCATTTGATCCGTACAGGTGCCCACGACAACGAAATCAAGTGAGACAAATGTACAACCGAGCAGATCCATGGAGGATACGTAGGGCTCCAGGGTATATGGATCCATGCCAGCAATAATGGGCTCCACATAGAAGGGAGCAAAGCGATGCTCGTAGAGCATTTGAGAAAGAAGTTCCGTTAGAATTTTCGGTGTTATAAGAAAGCCCGTATTGACCTCATACGCATGCCTGCGATGGCCCAAACGCTGCTGCACTGTCAATATGTCCGTCTGCAGCCCAGTCAGACCGATGTACAAGCGCGGCGCCAAGTTGAAGATCTTCTCAAACTCCTCGCCTGCCGTATACGAGGGCAGACAGAAGCGACGATCCGTGCTAATAGCGACACAGTCTTTGCCCCGCATGGCAATCACGCAGCCATTGCAAGACCCGACCATTTGGAGCTACAAAGTATTACTATTTATATACAAAAATAGAATTCGTTGCATGTGGCGTCTGTGAAAAGTTTGTAATGAAACGATTCGAGAGCTGAACCTAAGCTCATAAATGCTGAAGTTGTTTTCATAGGTTCGCCTGATTAAGTGCCCTCATTGAACTAAATATATTTACAGATATATAAGCCATCAAATTGTGCAACAAATTTTATTTCTGGCTAAGTCCTGGGCAATAAATAAAGTTTGCAAAAAAGAGTTGCTTAAAAAAAGTCATTAAAAACTTGCACGAAAACTTTTGGGACTTGCCCACAAATTTCGCAGCGCTCTTATCGGCTGGAATGCACATGAATGCACACACACACACACACACACACACACACACACACACACACATACCTACAAGCAGATTGCATGGCATGCGCCTTTTGTACAAGGACTTCCGCACTGAAGTCAAGCCCTTTTCCCATAGACTTCCTGGCAGGACTTGCACGACTTTTGTCATCCAATGCTCGGCGTCTGGTAAACTTTGACTTTGACTGACGGCATTTGTCAGCGGCAGACACAAAGTAATCATTACGTCTGCACTAGCATTCGACGAACTAGACGCAGCGAGCGCACACTAAGCGTATACTTAATATTAAGAAAATAAGTGCCTGTCAGCGCCCAGTGGGGCCCACCCACTGGAGAAAAGAGAGAGAGAGACCGCGCACGCCAGCGAAAAGTGCAAAATGGTGTCAAAGTCATGAACAAAAACATCATCAGCAAACAACAACCACATTTTGTTCACCAAAGCAGTGCTGTGGGCGTGGCGAGCGGAGCAACTGCAAATGCAACTGACGATGACGTCAGCCCGCCAGCAACACTCCAAGTGTAAAATTGTTGCAACGTTAACTTGACAACTTGAGACAAATTGAGATGTTGTTTTTTAACAACACTTCTAGATGCGAGCGCAGGGCGAAAATTGATGTGCAACGCCACAACCGAGAGAGCCACCAACCGACCGACCGACCCACCGACAGAGCGACGGACTGACACGTGGAGAGCGTTGAAAGCTCACAGCATCAGCTGCATTTTAAGCAGCCTCAGGTGTAGCTAGCGTATCCGTATATAGGTCAATATGCTTATTGGATTATTTATACAGCGTTTACACTTCGTGCCAATCAAATCAGTCAACTAGAGTGAATCCAATTTGATTTTCAAATTAGCCTAAACGAAGCTTACGAATCAATGAAGCATTTATAGCAATTAAAGGTCAAGATATTTATGTTATTATTACTATTGAAAATGTGAAAATATAACACAGCAGAAGGAGGCGTGGCAGAGCCCATGCAATAAATATATCCCTCATCAGGGAGTCGAACTGAGTGAATATAGTCTACTGTGAGGTCTAATCAACTGATGGGGGCAGCTTTAATCATAAATAGTTAGTGGAATGCTAAAACACAAGGCCCCAGCTCTTTTTGTATAATTTAAGAGGATGTTAGACGTGCCACACATGGCAATTACTGCCGCAAGTTTACGATATTTAAAAACCAATTAAGAACACCGCAATGAAGAATTTTGTAGGCCTGCTACAAAAAGTACAAAATTGTAATTCACTTTTGATTTCAAGCAGCAACCAGAAAGTAGTAGATGGCAAGCACAAGAAATTGGTTTGTGGTCAGTGTCCTTTGAAGAGCTCAACGAGTTGAAGGCTCATCAATTTACAATCAGGCGCCACAATGGAAACACCTAAAACGCAAGCAACCAAAGAGCACAAGGCAAAACAAAAATTGCAGAAACAAAAAAAAATAGTTGCAACTAGCCGCAAGTCGAGCTCAAAGTGGAAGAAGTTGGCAAACAAAAAAGCTGAAACAGTAACAAATCCACAAAACAAAAACAGAGAAAACAAAGAAAAAGTGCAATAGATATAGCTGCAGTGATGTAGGCTGTAGGCAGCTTTGCGTAAACAGTCTGACACTTGGTTGCTTGAGGCTGCCTTTGTGGTTAACCGGAGCAGAAGCCGAGAGAAGCTGAGAAGCAGAGAGAAAGAGAGCGAGAGAGAGAGCAACTAGCTATGCATTTTGAAAACCGATGCCAAAACACATTAAGCCTGATGCCTTTGTAGGCGCCGGCAGCAGCAGTTAGCAGCTTAAAAAGAAGGCTACAGGAGTCAAAAGCCAGCAGTTGCAATTGCAAAACAGAGCCGCTGGTGGCAGGGGGCGTGGCACTTCTATTTCTAGTGTAAGGGTGTGTGTGTGTGTGTGTTTGCGAGCTAAAGCTTTTAGTGAATATGCATGTGTGTGTGTATGAGAGTGTGTGTGTATGTATTTGCGGCTATGCCTACTTCCATTTGCTGCTGTGGCTGTTTTAGTTTCTTCTTTAATGATGGTTGCCACAAAGCCAAATATGCCGCGCTCTAACACCAGACTCTTCTTC